CCTTGTGTTATGATTTCCAAAGGTGCCTTAATATGCAAGTTTCAATTTTCCAAAGCATGTCCCATTTTAAAGCTTTAAATCAAAATTCTATTTGAACCATTGTTCTCAAAATGATGTTTCCAATCAAAATGGTATATTGGATGACCTATTTTGGATTCCTAGATCTTCCAAACCAATTTCCAAATTCAACTTTTTAAACTTATAAGCCATTTTTAGTTCATTTTTGACCAATCATGCAAATCCATTCTATGAGCTTTTCCAACAATTCATGACCTTCTTTCTAGACTTAAAATCACATTTTGAACAACTTTCATGTTTTTAGTTTTTCCATGTGAGGCTTGGAAATAGGAGATATGGCATTTGCTTAAAAATGACCTATAACTGACAAATGACCAAAATACCCCTGTCTTGTTCAAACCATAAGTTGAGTTCCACAAATCCTATCAAGGACTTATACCACTCAAATTAAAGCTAAGAAGATGCCCTTCAACATTCATGTTGACCAAGAAATCATAGGAATCATCCTACTAGGGCAAAAGTTGTCTGCAAGTTGGGTGACTTTCAAGGACCCAGATTCACACACCTCTGCTGACCTGTAATTTGTCAAAACCATAACTTGAGCTCTGCAACTCCTATAAAGGACTTCCACCACTCAAATTAAAGCTAAGAACAAGCTATACAACATTCATGTTATGGGGAAGATGAGATATCAATCACATCTAGAGCTAAAACTGCCTGGAAGATAGGGAACAAATTAGGGTTTTTTCACTAACAATCCTCAGAAACCCTGACTTGAAACTTCTCAAACTCCTCAATCATGATGAGTTGGTCTAGGAATCATCTTTATAACATCTCTATGCATCATTCCATGATCTCATGGCCCTTGGATTAGGTCTCAACCTTCTCCAAATCTTCAGCTGATCTAGGGTTGGCCCAGTCAAAACCCTAATTCTACCATTCATGGTTGAATCTTCTGAACCCTTGCATAGTGACCTCTCTGGGCTTCATGATGGCTTTCAAGGCATCTCATAGGCTTTCTCAAAACATCAAGTTCATTCTCAAAGTCTTAGAATCATCTGAGGGGCACCCACAACTCTCAAGCTATGAAGCACACAACCCTGGTTCCAACCAATTCCTCTGAAGATCTCTTGAACTGTCTGATGAAGGTATCAACTTTCAAACACTCAATGAATAAATAATTGTTGGTCAAATTTTGGGGTGCAACACTAGGTTACTCCCCAAAAGTACCGTCTTCAACACGGGTCAAAACAGCCATTATTTCATCATATATAGGAAAACATCATATACTTTTACACCTCAATTTCACACTATTTTATTCATCATATATACATCATCATTATGTATTTCATACATTCAAACATCACTTAACATATTTACATCACAGTTAGGTTATCAATTCATTTTAATCCATGGAGGAAAAACAATCATAATTATAACATCCAAAATACAATCACAACATGTTCACAAATAATTATATTTACCAATAATAACTCTTCAAATTAAGCACCCATAACATCTCAATTTCTTCACGCCAAATTCATATCATTTTTATGTACCTTGTGTCGTCACACATCATTTAGCATAGATATGCACAAATAAATAAATCAATTCATTTTAATCCAACTTACCAAATAAATATATATATATATATATATATATATATATATATATATATATATATATATATATATATATATATATATATATATATATATATATATATATATATATATATATATATATATATATATATATATATATATATATATATATATATATATATATATATATATATATATATATATATATATATATATATATATATATATATATATATATAGTTAGTTAGTCCGATAGTCAGTCAGTCAGTCATAAGAACAATATCATTGTTAGAACATCATCACCATAAATTATCACAACAAGTCATGCATCACATATAATTAACCTTTCAATTAACAAATAATTATGATAGTTAAATATGTTGAAAAAACTCCAATATTCACATAATCCAAGTCTATAATGTCATAACCATTCATTTCTGCTAGCTGCATTCGCAAGAACTTGTATTCCAACACATTAAGTTCAATCTTGATGGTTGTATTATGAGACATAAGAGCCTTCAAGATTAACCTATTTCTCAAATCGATCACTCTCATCATTCTATCTTTGGTCAATACTTTGTAATTTCTCTCAATCATCTGACCTATACTTAGCAGCTTACTCTTCATGACAGGTATATACAACACATTGAAAATTACTGATAATTTATCATAATTTCTTCTAATCAGAACATCTCCAATACCTTAAATAGATAAGGTATTGTCATTTTCAAATTTTATCTTGTTCTTAGACGATTCATCTGCTTACACCAGTTTTCATAATTATTACCATTTAAGATTGGAAGATTCACTGAAAAATAACAGTTTGGATGATTCATTGTGGTTCAATGTGTCCTAAAGATCACACAACCAATGTTTTAGATACCAGACGTTGGAAAAGCTTCAACCTTGAAGTCAGGGTCGGCCCAACACATCTCAAAGCCTGAGGCCAAATATTTTATTTAATATTTTATTTTAACTAATAATAAAATTAACTCTTCTAAATACTCTACCAATTATTATATATATATATATATATATATATATATATATATATATATATATATATATATATATATATATATATATATATATATATATATATATATATATATATATATAATTGAAAAACAATGCCAAAATTGTTATAAAAAAAACCTTAGGCATCAAGTCTCTATTTTAAAAAATTCAAAAATTTATTATCTATACTTATAAATTTTTAATTAAGAAATCAAACAATATACCTAATAAATGATTGATATATTTATATTTTAAATAAATGTTATTATTTAACTGATATATAAATAATTTAAAAGGTTTTTTTAAATCAATTAATTAAACTCCTAATTATAAAGTAAGAAATGTGAGGCCTTAGGCGGTAACCTTAGTGGTCTATCCCTAAGGCTGACTCTGCTTGAAGTTAACCGAATCAATTTTGATAAACAAAAAATATTTTTTTTTATTGATCACGCTTCTTGTTCTTCACCCTTTACTCAGGGAAATAACCACTCCTTGATTGTAAGATGATTCTACACTACACACGAAATTGAAAGAAAAAAAACAACGCAATTGAAAGTGGGAGAAAAGAGAAATTCTGAAGGAAGAAGATGAATGTATATTATTGTGCAAACTGCACTCTAAGTATTTGATAATGTTTGTTAATGACAATTGTGATTTTAGAATCTACACAATGCAAAACTTATTCTCACTTCATTACAAATGAAATAGAGTTTCTCTTTACTTATAAATGAGATTATTTGCACTCCAAGTAATCACAAAATAATTAACTCAACTAAAACTAAGCGAAGCTAATTATTTCGACTCTGTAAACTCCTTCGATAGTTACATGCTTCGACTGCATGATTTGACAGACTATATTTGACTTTCTATCAAATATAAAAAATACAGACAATGTTCGACACAAATTAATTTTGACACCTGTCAAATACAGACATACTATTTCGACTTCATCACAAAGAATTACATATTTAGCAAAAATAATTACAACACTTAACACAGAAATATAACATAAATTTTCACAATAACATATATTACTAGAGGTGACAATTGGATCCATTAAGGCAAAATTCATCAAATCCATCCATCAAAAAATCCATCCAATCTATCCACCACATAAAAAATAAGTTAATGTATTGGATTAAATACATCCATTTATATGCATGGATGAATGAGATTCATCCAATATATTTTAAGAATCCAATGGATTATCTTTATTTCCGTTAAATTTCTTTTAAATAATTAAAAATAGATTTTTTAAAAGAAAAGAATTGATTTCTTTTAATAAAATAATCGAAATTTAAAAAAAAAATTGAATTTTTTTTGAAAAAAGACGATTTTTTTTTCTAAAATAAAAAACTGATTTGTTTTTCAAAAAAGAAAAAACCGACTTTTATATAAAAAACGATTTATTTCCCGAAAAAAAATCGTATTTCAAAAATTAAAATATTAATTTTTTTTTTTGAAAATACAAAAAATTCAATTATTTTATGAATATATTAAAAAACATTTTTTTTTAAAATACAAAAAATAATTTTTTTAAAAATAAAATAAAAAAATACATTTATTTTTTCGAAATAAAAAAAAGTTAGATGGATGGATATCCATCCATTAAAAATATGTTAATGAAAGGATTAGATGAATTTTATTCTTAAAGGAAGGATTGGATTGAATAATTTTAAAAAAAATTTAATGGGTTGTTAATGGACTAATGAATTGTTTTAATCCATCCACTAATGATCTAATCCATATCCATCCAATCCATCCATTTTGCCACCCCTATCTATTACTACACATTCAACATAATTTAATTCAAACATGATATTAATAAAGTTTTTAGTTATAAAAATTATTCAAACATATGTTAATATCGTGTAATAATAAAACACAACACGACAATCAATGAATCAACAATTCATATAAATAATAGTCATTACAACTCATATATAAACAAGATATCAATTATCACACATTTTTGCACAATTTAAACTATCACACAAGAACTCTATAATGTTTCAATTCCATATTTTATCTCACAAATTCCATATTTGCACACTAGTTTAATTATCACTACCATGCTACAACTATCGCAGCGAGGTCCGAATGAATTTTGGGAAATACAACTCTCCCATTTATCTCACTTAGTTTACGCACATGGTTCATAATCCAGTGTTTCAGTCTAAAACATCAAGAATTGTTTCAGATATCCAGGCATCAAGTAATTACAAACTTAAATCTACACATAATTTCTGAAATTAGTGTTCATCACACAAGCCACACCAGACATGAATAAGGAGTCAGCTAAAAATTCCATCTCAAATGGTTGTTACAAAATGCATTATTCATGAAGAATTTAAAAAGCACTTAGAATGGACACCACCATCTTCTGCGTCTGCTCTCCCTTCGGTTTCGAGAATCATGAAAAAATTGCTGATTTTGCGCTGCCAGGCGAGTACTCGAATGTCTACTCCCTTCACTCCGAGAGTTTCTACCTAGCCACAGTACAATAACCATGCCAACTAGACTAACAATCGGAGCTGCAGCAAGAAACAGCCATCTTCCCCTACCACTTTCTATTGCAGAAGAATTCGGCACATCATGAATAGTGGTATCACCGTCTTCACTCGCTTCAACTCCATCAGAAATATCAGAGAAGCTATCATCTATAACGTGTAGTTGCTGCTGTCTCTCGTAGATCACATTTCTACCATCGTTGTTGTTCTGTTTTCCGTCTTCGTAATCCTTATCATCGGTTGGAAGCTCAAAACGACAAAGAGGGCACGAATTACGTGTCCTCAACCACGGCAAAATGCAACGACAATGGTAAAGGTGAGAACAAGGGAGCTGATTTACTTCAGTTCCAACGGACAAAACATCCTTGCAGATAGCACAAACTAGTTCATCGTGTTTCTCGTGTTCCTTGCTAATGACTACACAAGGCAGATTGTTTACAAAAGACGCAGCAGCAGGTGGTGCTCCTCGTCTTGATGGGTCGTTGTCAGCGAGATTATCAAGCAGATCATTGAAGCGTCTGGTATCCAGGAAGTCTCCAAAATTAGCTTCGTCGGGTAATTCAGCATCGTCCAGAGCTAACCAAGTTTCCCTGATTAACTGGCTAAATATCCCCTCGGTTTCAGTTGCATTAAACCTTTGTTCCCAATTAATGCGACCTCGGCTCTCATTTGGACTTGAGTTAAAAAGAACTTGAAGGCGAGCGGATGCAGATTCATCAACCTCGGGTAGTTCCCATTCTCTTTCCTCCTCGTCCTCCTCTTCCTCGTCTTCCATATTGTCCGAGTTCCATTGGCCGAGGCCAGCGTGCATTGGATCAATGTCAGTGTCAGTATCAAACTCATCTCCCTCGTCTGGTAAATTAAAAATTCCAGTACCTACAAAACTCTGTCTGTCGATAGAGATATCCGAGTCACCTCCATAAGGACTGAAAGAAAAAGAACCAGTCTCGCTTTGGGGAACCATATACTGTCTAAAACTCGCATTTGATTCATTTTCACCATAATGAGAACGCCAATTCTCAAAACCCTCACTGTCAGTATCTGAGAGAACATGCCTCCAGCTTCTAGAACGACTAGGAGTAGTATTTGCACTTGCATACTGCAATGACATTGCAGGGTTGTCACCATCTACAAGTTGATCTTCCTCTACAGATGCAGTGGAATGGTTTTGTCCACCAACATTCGGAACCGATTCAGAGCTACTGTGCCTGAATCTTCCTCGCAGCCTCCTTTGAGAGCTTTGAGAAACCGTATGATTCCCAAAGTCTTCAAGCAATAGAAATTTACAGTCACCGCATACACCACCCGTTGCAAGATCACCTGTTATCTCATCATCAGGCGATAAGGCCTTGCGGCAAAGAGAACACAGTGGAACACATAGAGAATCAGCACAGTCACTGCATACACCACCCAATGCAAGATCACCTGTTATCGCACCATCATCAAGCGGTAAAACCTTGTGGCAAAGAGAACACAGTGGAATACATAGGGAATCAGTGCCCCCATGAACTTCTGAATTATACCGCAATGACAAGGACAATATATTCTCAGAATTCGCAGCCATCTATCTGAAACCAAACAAATCTAAATTATCCCAACACACTAAAATAGTCAATAACAAAATACTCAAATCAAGCAGTAACAAGCATATAACAGTAACACCTATGTAGCAACAACACTTAAGATTTAAAGCGCGTCTGGTACCGGTTTTGCTATCGGTGCTTCAATCATGGACACCAGACGCGGCACTGACACTAAAGTTTGCATTCAATCACTTATCATCACAAACAATCTACTACTTAAAATCACACAAAACAAACACGCCATCCATTTACCATCACTAACAAAATACTCGAATCGTACAGTAACAACCATATATTAGTATCACCTAAGTAGCAACAACACTTTAGATTAAAATCGTGTCTGGGTCTGGTAACGGCGCTTCAATCACAGACACCCGACACGGCACCGACACGTGTAGTTTACATTCAATCACTTACCATCACAATTCACAAACAACCTACTTCTTAAAAATTAAAATCACACAAAACAAACGCATCATCACTTAATAATATCATGTGGGCTGAGCTCAAATAAAAGAAAATAAAAAGCTGAGCATCAATCAAGTAACAAATGTGATTGCATGCACAAGTAATTACTCAGAGGCAAAAAGTAGTTAACTAGTTAAATTTCCATTTTCTAGACCTCACTCTCTCTCACACACACAAATACAAACCCACATAAACTCTTCCCCCCATTAAATATATATATACATGATCTGTAAGTAACATGTGTGATTCTAAGGAAATGGTGCACGTGGGTGGTGGTGGAGTAAACAATTAAATACAATTAAGAGATACCCAGAAGATGAAAAGCGTGAATCAGAATGTGAGTAAAGAAGAAACTGAATAAAAAAAGAATTTTGAAGGGTAAAATGAAAATTGCGTATTGACCTGAAATGGGTGAGGAAAGAGCTGAAAGAGGGATCTTGAAAGGAAGAAGGGTTAGATCAGATTTGAATACAGCAGAAAAGAATGAAAGCAAGAAAATGAAAAATTGAAAGAGTGGGAGGAATGAAAGGAAGAACCTTTTTGTTTTGTATCAAAACATCCTTTGCCGGCGACTCTGTCTCGTCAACAGCCCAAACTTCACGACGATGTTTTCGGATTTAGTGTCGCCTCTTTTAATTTTTGTCTTAAACCATTCTCTATATTTTATATTTTTTTAAAAATAATTATAAAAATTAATTAATTATATATTTATTTAATATTTAAATACTAATGAATTATTAAAATTATTTTTAATTAAATATTTATTAAGTAATATAAAGAGAAGATCTTGCCATTCAATTGAGTATTTTGGATCGGTTGTTCTAGTGATGGCCGAAGGCCAAAAGTGAATATTGGATTTTAGTTTTTATGTTAATATTATTTCTGGTTTTATTTTTATTTATGAGAAAAAAATTGTTTTTTGAATTTATTTAATGACTAATGTATTTTAGTATTTGGCTTGTTTAAATATATTATTTATTCAATAAATTTAAAAAATAATTTTTTTTTTATAAATAAAACTAGAGAAACTAAAAAATATTCCATTGAAAAATAAAGTAATGAAAATTTATCATGTTAAGTTAGTTCAATATAGTTATGTAAGAAAATTAGATGCTAAGTAGGAGTTCAAATCAATTACATTTCATTTAGCTTATTTGTAGAAAAAAATTGTGAATATTTGTTTTGTATTTAAAATATGCTTTATAGTATATATATATATATATATATATATATATATATATATATATATATATATATATATATATATATATATATATATATATATATATATATATATATATATATATATATATATATATATATATATATATATATATATATATATATATATATATATATATATATATATATATGTAAAAAATTAAAAGTTCAACAAATAAAAAATTACATGTATAGAAAATTAAAAATATAGTTGGTGTGTGTATTTCATATGTGAATTAGGGTTGGGTAATCAGCCCATTCGGATTAATATTGAGTTTAAAATTTAAATCCGACGAAAATTACAGTTTTATTTTAAAGATCAATTTTGACCAATAAAATTTTTATTTTTGATAGATTCAGTTAAATCGATTTTGAGGATTAATCGGGTGGTTTTGATCAGTTTAATATTTATTCGACTAAACTCATAAAATTGTTCATCTTTTTATAAAATTCACAACCATTCATTTTTTAATTTTTTTTAAAATATCAAAAGTTACTAATGAATCAAAAGAGAACTATTTTTTCATCATTGAAAAAAGTTATTATTATGTGATAATATTTTCAATATCGTTTAACATTAATATGGTCATTATCATACTTTAAACCACAAACTAAATAACACTAAAAAAATGTCTATTACATGTCATTATCTTATGAGTACACAATTACATCATTAAATTATAAAATTGATAATAACCTAACAAGATTATAAACTCTATAGTAATAAAAATAAATAAAATAAATATTAGTTGGGTTCAGTTTGGTTTGATTTGTTGGGGAGTTCATAGAGCGTCTGAAGTGTCAATGGGTCAAACATTCAGAAATCAAGAGACGTCGACACCAAATATCCACCCAAAACCATAAGACAATAGAGGTATGAGTCACCTATATTCTAAACCTAACATTTTCTCCATTCCTAGTCGATGTGAGACTTTAGCATATTCACACTTGAAATCCAACATGATTTCTGACGAGTCCAAAATAGTCATTTGAACTTGGTCGAACCAACTTTATACTACCTAAGTTAAGTAACTGAATCAACCATCACCCGATCAGATCCAATCCATTTGTACAAAAAAACAATGGGTCATTCAGTTTCAAACGAACGGTTTAAATTTGTCCACCTCTAGTGTGAATGTTACAATTTTGTTTGCATATTTGTATTTAATATTTTTTTTATATTCTAAAAAAATTAATAATACTAATTATTGTTTTGTTCGAGAATGAAACGATGATCGAAAAAAGTTGAGCTGAGGATGTGCTGCGGTGAATAAGGGTTGACCTACAAGGTTAGCATTTCAACATCTAAGCCAGTTAGAGAAATGAATAGTGTGGTGCCAATCGGGAGTGAAATTCATACTTGAAAGTGACGTTTTCATCTCCTTTAAATAGGAGAGTTTGTTGGTAACTTAAATATGAATGTGAGCGTGAGATGTGAATACTCATTGGATGGATTAGGACAGTGTATATGTGTCTTTCAGAGAGGTGACCAGGGGGTGTGTGCCTCTGAATTCACTCATCATATTCTTGATTTATTGTTTCCCTGTTTTGGGCCCTTGTGCTTCTTTGGTCCCTTTGACCGACTCTAAATAGTTGTCCCTTAATGGTATTACCCGTCCACGAGGTCATCACGAGGAAATGTCTGATTAGATGTCGTCGTCCTTAGGAAACGGTGACTCTAAGACAAAAATCATAAATGGCACTTTAAGGAGCGGATGATGATTGACATGTGCCCCCTCATTCCATCTAGTTATCATTCTAATTGTATTGAGGATACGAGAGTTTCATTCGAATAATTCTAGGGAGATCTTGAATGTTAGTAATGGGAAATGATTGTATGGCCTCTAAACTTTTAATGGAGTACACGGGGTCACCGAGGGGGCATTGTTTTCTTTTACTGACTTCCCTATTGACTTTTCACAATAAATTTCTTTCCCCTTTCACCTTTAGTTCTAGATATTTTTGGGGCGAACGTCAATCCGTGTCCAAGAAATATTGTTTCTGGGTTTAGTTCACGTGCTTAATTTCAAACTTCTGGGTTCATGTGTCATAGTTTCCCGCCTTCTTCTTCACCTTTATGTGTTTAGGGTTTATAGTGCTTTGAACTTGCCCGCTCTATTTTTCATTACTGTATTTGTTCTTAGAATCCTCTAAACATGGTTATTATCTTGTATTAACTAGGAGGGCTGGTAAAGATATCTCAGGAGTTTGGGTAAATTCATATATATCAAGCACTTCTTCTGTTTCCTCTCATGGCAAAAATTTTGCTCAGACTATGATTAATGTGGGCTTATCTGAGGGTTGGGGGGTTCTTCCTCCATATGAAGATCAAAGAGTATGTATTCAATATGGTGGTGTGTTATCTCATTCCATGAATGTGTGTTTTCCCTTGTTGGTTATCACATTTCTTTCAATGAGTTTGAAATCAGTGTTCTGAATCATCTACTCATTGCTCCCTCGTACTTCCATCCTGTGATTTGGGCGTTTATCAAAGTTTTTCCAGCACTGGTGCAAATACAAAGGCAGTAAGTTGACAATAACGTTATTCTTCCACATGTTCAAAATGCAAAGTGATTACGAATCTAGGAATAGTTCTGGCTTGATTTCTTTGAGACAGAGTAATAAGTATTTTGAACCTTCCTTAGATAGTGTGAAATATTTTAAGGACAAATTCTTCCTTGTAGTTCCTCTCAACCAAGAAGCACAGTCAAAGATTTTTTAAATTGATCCCGGTGTTCCTTCTTCATGTATTTTTAGGAATGTAAGACTCAATGGTGGAACATTTTGTCCAACAAATGAAGTTTAAATTTGAGATGAGTCTTGTCGATAAACTCACTTACTTTCTTGACCTTCAAGTTAAGCAAATGGAAGATGGCATAACTGTATCTCAAAGCAAGTATACTAAGAGGATAGAAAAGAAGTTTGGCCTTGACAATGCTAGCCACACAAAAAATTCTATCGTTACTAATTTGAATGTGACAAAAGATGAAAATGGAGTTAGAGTAGATCAAAGATCATTGATCAGTGCATTTTTATGCACATTCTCCTATATTTTTACTTAGACATTTCTTTACTTTATTTTAATTATTTTTATATTTTATTATGTTTTTATATTTTATTTTATTTTTGCTTTAATTTAATTTTCGCAACTATTTTTCAGCTTTAGTAGTTTTCACGGAAACGATCATAACTGGAGTTCCGGGAATCCGTTTGAGGCGTTCTAAAAATCTCCGAAAAGCTAAGAGAGAGAGCTACGACTTTCGTGTTGGAGTCGAAGTCAGATTCGGAGCTC